GAAGCTTGATCGATAATACGTGGACTATTATGATTATCAACTTCTGCTGGTACATGCACGATAATTTCTGGTGGACTTCCAGAACGTCGTCTCGTAGTGGAAATGTCACTGTATCTTTTTCTTTTTGATCCACCTTCGTCTGCAGGCATTTGTTGTAATCTCTTTTCTGGGACACGATCGTTCTTCTTCCTGGATGCTTTTCTATTTGATGATCCCTTGTATCTACCATCACGAGAGCTATCAGAAGAATCACTCGAATCACTTGTAGAACTTTTGTGTTTTCTAGGCATTTTCGTATACGGTACACGTTGACGTAACAGTCGGAAATTCCAGAGTCGACTATGAATGTTCACCCCAACACCTGAACTGTAAACTACACGGCCACCACAAAACCAAAATAAAATAACTTATGAAACCCGAAACTATATTCAACAAAATATTAATATACAATAACAAACAAGTAATCCCGACCGAGAGCGCTTCGACAATGACAATGGTCTCTCTGTCTGTTACGTATCTCACGTATCTGACACCTCATCGCTTCATCACACCAGTGATATTCCTTGCATTCTTGAGATAACAGTCACACATGGTAACTCAGTCAAATTTTCGAAATGTATGTCATCACAGATAACTTATTTTGAGTCCGGTCATATAATTTTGCATCTATCTATGGTTATATTGAATAATGAACCATCACAATAATAATTGAAATATTGTCGATCTCTCTCGCCAACTAATTCCCTAACTAGGTTGTCATTTAGAACGACAATGTCCTGGGGTCAGATGATGGTGGTTGATGGATGATTGACACTTGATATTCCTATTACATAATTGAGTCGTAATAAAGCACTGCTAAATAAATCAGAACATCTATGTTTCAATGATTTTGCATCAATAAGAACTATCGAAATATTGATTCTCATTGATATGGGAGTGAAGTTCTTCTTTACGCCCGGGTCGTGCATAAATGTCATAAATTTTCAGGCATTTTCTCACCCTTACATAGATCACCTCAAATACGGCTGTATAATATGGATTATTTCTTGAAACTCATCACTCATCCGCAGGTATTCAAAACGCCCCGATAACAGGCATAGGCAAGCTTTTAGACCAATCACAACGTTGAATTTCACGCGTGCGTGTTTCGGCTTGAGTTTCTAAATTATTCTGGACATTGGAGTCAGCATGAACTATACTCTCGGAGTTCTGGACCACAAGTGATGGCAGATTTTCATTACGATCAGAGTATTGATTCCGATCAACTCATTGTCATTAAATCGGAAATAGAGGTAAAATACGCACGAACATCACCCAATATACAATCACAATAATAATATCTTTGTTAATATATATGTTAATATGTATAGAACTTACTTCCTCTTTGGACCACGAAAATAAAGGAAATGGTAAAACTCCATTTATCATGCGATGGATTTTTTTGTAGTTACGTATTTTTGTCTGAACACGAATTTGATAATGAAAATGTGAACAAACTATTATTTATCAAGATATTTCACTATAAAGTTACAAATGTCACCTTCTTTTCCGCCTGTCTTCTGGATCGCATTTAGAACAATTTGCTCTTCTTTTTTCATCATTGGACAATTTATGTATATCACAATGTACGACACATTTTTTTCTATTATATGAGTCAACTAGAAACATGATTTTCTTGTGATTTATCCATATTTATTGAAAAGAAGGAAGAATATCATTTGAAATAATGGCGTGTGTAATGTCATTCAAAAACGACTTGATTAAATGACCGTTATCTCTTATGCTTGTTCAACTAAATATGAAAAACTCGCCATGAAAATCATATTTCCTGTTGAATTTTCTATATATAAATGTGTCATTGAAGAATATCATGAGTATATAAACTGTCCAATGACAAAATAAAAAGAGTACCTAAGTACCTATAGTACCTGTAAATGCATCTAACACGAGGGGAAAAAGAAGGCGAAATTTCGAACTTTTTCTTGAAATATCTCGATAAATAGTGGTTTGTTCACATTTTCATTATCACATTCGTGTTTGTCAGACTAAAATACATAAGAACAAAAAAAAAATGTTCGAAAAAGAACCCTTCCCATGATAAATGCAGTTTTACCAAAATATATTTTTAGTTACAGCAATTTGTCCTAAATTTCATTCTCTAGTTCCTATCACATGCTTCATCAATTGCTTATCAATATTACCAGACACTTGGGAAATAATTCATTGATCATTATTCGATGTATGACTCGGTGATTCAAAATCGCCAAGATCGGAGATTCGAATTTACCGCCAAGGCCAAAATCGACCTGATTGGTATAAAAGCTCATCTATGCCTGTTATCGGGGCGTTTTGAATACGTGCCACTGATCCTATCGCTACATTTGAAATATTGATCCGCTTTTTCTAGGTGCGTCAATCAATCATAAAGATGATTATGGTTTCACACCACTAATGAAGGCTGCCAGCTGGGGTTTCACGGAAGTCTGTGAAATTCTTCTAGACCATGATGCAGATACTGGTTTGACTAACAAACGTGGACAAACTGCGTTGTCACAATCTATACGCAGGAACAACATAGATACAGTAAAAGTCTTGTTAGAGCATGGATCGGATCCCAATAAAGTAATTTCATATTCTGGCAAGGTTTTCACTCCACTATCTTCTGCATGTTTATCAAAAAATGCAGACGTGATGAAACTTCTGATTGAATATGGTGCCGATGTGAATTATCCAAAACCACATTCGTTGGCCCTTTTTACTTGCGTGAAAAGTGGATTCGTTGCAGGAGTAAAAGTACTCCTGAAAGCAGGCGTGAATGTACACGCAAAAACCCACAATGGCGGTATAGCTTTGAATTCAGCCAGAAGATATCACCACAATGAAATTGTTCAACTGTTGATGAACCATCATTAAGTTCAACTACAATTATCATATTATATCATTCCATCATTCGGTATATAGTACCAAGTGACTTTAAATACATTCTATATTTAGTTGAAAAGAACGTTTGGAATACTCTCAATACTTTCAATGTCTTGATGCATCTCTTAATTTTTACTAGAGAGTCGACTCTTCCATGTTTGAGTTGTATAATATTATATTTTTTTAAAACCAACCTAAATAATACCATCTGATGCAATTTCTAGTAGAGTGAAGACGTATGGTGAATGGCCACGCAAAAATAACACAAGCGCTTCTAGTGGACAATTTATAAGTTGTTCAACTATGAAATATATCAAGTTCCTTGTGGAAAGTTATATGAGGAAATTGAATTTTTTTCCGAAATATTGAAGGAGTGATAAATCTACGTAGGACATGATAGTTTACACACATCCTAAGTTGGGTGTGTTAAGAAGCTACAGGGCGTTGAAGTGCATCAGGGTGATATGGTTTCTTCACAAATATCACAAGTAGTATTTATATCGTTCAGATCTGAACCGTATCTTCTGACTACGTTTGATTACCAATCATCATAGTTGCAAAGAAGGTACAGTTTCGTCAGTAAATGAGGATACATACAAGTTGGACAAATAATGTGGCAAAGTGAGCTAAAGGCTTCGCTGTTTGAGACAGCTAATCAAAAATTTTTGAGATGGTCTAGGCTTAAGAGCAGCAGATTTCTAAAATATTATACAGGGTGACTCAAATATGTGTCACGTATCAAAGTTATACTTTTTTATTGTGACACCCTGTATTTTATTGCATTTTGAGATTCTCCCTTGTGAGCTGATTTAAATCGATCTATCACACTTTGGGTTTCAGGGAAACGATTACAGAGATATTAGGTATGAAAACTCGAGATAGTTCAACTTTTGGAATGTCTCTTATGTCGAAATTATGAACCACCCTGTATTCGTTCAAATTAAATGTCAGTAGACAGTAAATCAAAAGTTGAGATAGGGAAATGTGAGCCGTTCTGACCAATATGGGTACATTTTACACAGGAAATTCCGAAAGTTGAAAAATCTCGATTTTTCACCCCCTATCTATAATCATTTCCCTCAAACCTAAAGTGTGATAGATCGATGAAATCAGCTCACAAGGGAAAATCTGAAAATGCAATAAAATACAGCATAAAAAAAGTATAACTTTGATACACTACGCATTTTTGAGTCACCCTGTTTAACGCAAAATATTTTAGAAAAGCGCCTAGCTAGTTGATAAACATAAATGGCTCACTAAAGCACGATATTTTCTGAAAAAACTCGTTTGTAGTGTTCAATTGTAATTTCATATAGGGATACTTGATAAAAGTTCATATCGACTGACATCTTCAAAATGTGAAATGCCTAGCACACTTTCTCAATCATTTTACTTGATTTTTTGGGATTGTCTCTCCTCGTTTCTATAAAATAAAAATATGCTTAGTATTTCAATATATTTTTAGTGGGACAAATCAGATGATTTGCCCCAAAATGTCACTGCGTTCAACAAATCAGGGAGCCTAAAAGAAAAATCCAGTAGCTTGTCAGTGACACATTGTTTGAAGGAAAGAAATATAGATATATTGAAAAAATATAGAATTTTTACTAATCTTTGGACGTTTCGGGAACGAATCTGCTTCCGTTCTCAACATGAAAAGGCAAAATATTGTTGACATATGAATGACTGATTTTAGTCTACAAATGAGTTACAGGATGTTATCATTGATCAATATATTGAAATATTTTTATTTCATAGAAACGAGGAGAGAAAATACCAAAAAATCAAGTAAATCAATTAATGAAAACATCCTGTAACTCATTTGTAAACTAAAAGCACTCATTCATATGCCAACATCAGTATGACACTGAGAAGTGTCAAACTATAAGACTTCCAAAGAAAAATATTTTGCATTTTCATGTTGAGAACGGGAGCAGATTCGTTCCCGAAACGTCCGAAGATTAGTAAAAATTCGATATTTTTTCAATATATCTATATTTCTTTCCTTCAAACATTTTTCATAACACAAACGAAGTGTCAGTGACAAGCTACTGGATTTTTCTTTTAGGCTCCCTGATAGAAAAATTTGTTGAACGCAGTGACATTTTGGGGGCAAATCATCTGATTTGTCTCACTACAAATATATTGAAATAATACGCATATTATTATTTTATAGAAACGAGGAGAGAAAATCCCATAAAATCAAGTAAAATGAATGTCCTCCTCGATTAACCTACAGACAGTATTTAACACTTTCTCAATTTTTGCCGCTTCGAGTGTGATCATAGTAGGCCAAGAAATCTCCTGACGAAAATGTTATAAATATTGCAAGGTGTCCGAGAAAAACGTGAATACAGGGGTGGCGTATAGCAACTTGAAACACTATATTTGCACATTTTTATGAACCATCTCATATTGTGAATGTTATGTAACAAATGCAAACATAAATAAGTGATGCATTGAGAGAATTTAAAACTTTTTCACGCTACGCATACTGTAGAATGTAAGTTGTAATGACTAAAGGAATTTATACTTGGTATTAGTATTTAAGTTTTTAAATGAGTTTCGGTTGAGTTCAGACTCGCCTTTATTTATATTTTATATGCTGCTATTGTAGTTTTGTATGGTATGAAAAACATTTTATATTATATGACAATAAATATATTGTTCTCACATTATCTTCTATCATTTGCGACGCCCATCATCAATCAATTTTCAGCCTTTCGAATTAAATCTGTAAAAAAATCTACAAAATACCAATTTAAGTTACATTTCATTTTGAACAAAATAGACCCATTAGGTTAGATTTGATTTTTTTCAAGTAAGCGGTTTGGTACGACGAACTATGCACCCGACTGCCACCCCTGCATACTTTCTAGGAAGAAGGTTCTTTTAGATCGAGTTGGGTTACATTATTTAGAAAGAGTTGTCTCCTTTCTTATACAATAAGGATGTTCTGATTATTTTCCTATGCTGGAAGGATAGTTTCCTTCCTAATATTCGACATTTTTATGTGCATACATCAAAAGAGGCAATTGAGCTCTTTTCTACCTTGAACGAGAGAGAGGAAAGTTCTCTCCCCTTCCATCTTTCTCTTCAATGCTACCAACGTGGCCGCATTGAAATATAGAGAGATCCGATAAATCTCTCCTTGTCTAACCTCTAGCCTGCGCCACTGAACTATTTTCGATATTATAATGACGTGATATTTCTATGTCATGAATGTCGTTGACTGATGACATTTAGAAATTTTGATTTATAACAATCATTTTGACATAATTTGTTTATATCGTTAAATTTGACACTCTGCTGAATTAAAAAATAGTTCAGTGGCACAAAGTAGATGTTAGACAAGGAAAGATTTATCGGACCTCTCTATATTTCAATGCGGCCACGTTGCTAGCATTGCAGAGAGAGATGGAAGAGGAGAGAACTTTCCTCTCTCTCGTTCAAGCTAGAAAAGACCTCAATTGTTTTCCCGTTGTCTATCATCGACTTGAATTACATCTAGAATTTTGTCGCACGTCAAAAAGTGACATCATGTACAGGGTCATTTTTTATATTTAAACAGCTTCTACAGGGTTCATCATTGAAGATAAAAAAAATTTCAAATACAAAAGTTGTAGGGTTTGTTCCGAACCTCCAGAAAATTGAAGGTGAAACAAATGAATATCGCTGATATAAGAAATGGGTACAATCCTCGTTATTTCAATGGAACACCCTATGTTTTTCGAAAAAATGTGAGATCTTTCTTTTCTGATTTCAAAATATATAGGTGGTTGGTATTAAGTTCAGCCGTTTTCAAAGTATTCGAGGTTGAACATTTTTTAGTTACTTGATTTTACCAAATCACAGTTGCCATGAAGAATCAACAACACATACGCAAAGAAAATATGACAAAGTTTGATCAATAGGCGAGTGGACTAATTTTTTTTATTTCTTAAATAGAATCATCACTCAAATACCTTTCAATTTAATATTTTTTAAATCATCAATAATGCCACGGTTATTTTCAAACGGCTAGAAATTTTACCGCCAGTAAAAACTGACGGCACGATTTCGTGAGTAGGGGCACACCATAGCACAGTTGCCATGTGTTGAAATACGATTGGGAACTTCAGAAATATTAGTTATTCAATAATTTATAAATTCTCAATTAAGTATTGGTAATATTCCTAATTAGCAATCAAAATTCAATTGTCTCAAAATGTTCCCTTATGATTTGTGGCTTATTGCTGATAATGAATTTGTGTAAATAATAATTATATTCATTCACACTAGAGGACATTTGAATCTCGGTGTGAACGTGACAACCCCACGCACGACTTGTGGGCGTGGTCTTGTCAGTTCTCGACATTCAGCACAACGTTGTTAAGTCTCCAACATTCACATGATATTTTGTTATGAAGAATAAGAAATATTTGGACATTCTGGTTGTTCGAAAAGGTCAAGAATGAACTATAGTGTCATGAATTCCTCCTATTATGTTTGATCAACGACGGGACTCAAACATCTTTTTGATAACTTGATTATAATTGGTGACTTGACAACCTTGCTACATGAGTGGAAATGGAAGATTATCTGACCAATAACGAAATAGCATAAAAACTGGCGTCACCAGCTCTGAAATTCAAAGTTTTTGAACAACGCATAGACGTATTATTTACATAAAAAAATGTGGGAAGTGTTGCAAAAATTAATTTAGGTTTCTAATGACACAATGGAGTGATTGAATGTATATAATTAATTATCTCTCGTTCATTACAACCTGAATATGTGTTGTTGATTTGGTAAAATAAAACTAGCTCATTCTAAAATTGTCAACCTCGAATATTTCATGATGGGCTGAACCGAATATCAAAAACATATGTATTTTTGAGATAGAAAAATATATAGGGTGTTGAAAATAACGAAGTTGGTACATATCCATTTCTTATATCAGCGATATTCATGTTTCACCTAGTACAATTTGAAGTTTTTTTTTTCTATCTTCAATGATGACCCCTGTAGAAGCTGTTTAAATATACGGAATAACCCTGTATGTACCTCCAATGAATGATACAGGCACATCAACGTGTCTCTGAGTCGCAGTATATCCATTATATTTTATGTGATATGGTAACTCTAGTTTGTTCCACTTAGTACTTGACAAAACTTTTTATAAACTGAGGAAGGATACATGTCATGAAATGTCCTGGGCATTCATTGGAATGACGGATTATCATTATTAAATGCTACCATTTGACAGGAGTATAAAAAAACACATCATTTAAATATTGAATCACTTGATTGTTGCTGATGGCCGGATTTTAATTCCTCTCGCCAAATCTACAAAATTGTCGTGAAATTTTATCTTTAGTAATGTTTCACCTGCATGAAATATGGTTAGATTTGATTCAGAATATGGTAAATTCAATATACCTACGATATTGGTATATTTTGTGAAAACCAAAAAAGGACAAAAAAATTATGAACTTATGTGGTTGGTGCCTTCGGTTTGTGATTGGTCAGATTATAGGGACGTTCTTTTATCCGCCGGTGGCTTCATCAATCCACTAACTGCGTTCATATATTCTTTGGTGGATTCCAGTTTGACGTAACCACGCGGTCATTTATTACTGTTGTGTCAACCAAAATTGCAAACCTTTCAACCAATGTACAGAGATGATGGACGATTTTGGTGGCTTTCGAAATGACAGCGACAGCATAACCTCAAAAAACTAAAAACAGAATATTGGAATTGAAAGCTGTTTGCCATTTGCCTAAGAAAAAATATGGATGAATTGATTGATTGATTGATTGTCTTTATTACCCCAAGAAACATTATTGTTTATAATAGGGATATATACAACAAAACATACATATAAAACATAATAAATCGAAACAATAATAATTGCACAATTATTGTTTTTCCTAAAAAAAGAATTATAATATAAAATGAAAATATCATAATCCATTACAAGTAATTGAATTGTGAATGATTAGTACTATTAAAGTTTACTGAGCAGATATTTCTTTAATTTCAATTTAAATTTGTCTGCTTCTTCTATATTTTTCAACTCATTAGGTAAGGAGTTATACAAAATTATTCCATTATGGAATATTGATTGTTTACCAAAATTTGCCTTATAATCATTTGCTATCAATAAATTTAATATGGAAATAAAAGAATAGTTGCATCATTGACACCAACAGAAATTGAAGAAATTTCGAGTGGTAAATACTTTTTTCTTTCCCATCATGAATTTCAAGAAATTAGTGCAAACAGCCAATCTGGTCTACTTCCCAACATAAACAATATTTCATCCTCGGAACTATCACAAGAACTGCTACAACTTTGGGATCTGGAGACAAGGAATCCAATAACACTTTTAATACATCATTTTCCATTTTACCTCAGTTTTCGCCAATTCTGAACATCTAATTGAAAACAGTCTAAATTGAATTAAGAAGAGAAAAATAAATAGAAAAAAAAAAACAGTTGTGATTCATTTTTCTTTTCCTGATTTTATGGTGATGTAGGTTCTTTTCAATTAGAAGCTCAGAATTGGCGAAGATGAATATATAATTGAAAATGATGTATTAAAAGTGCTATTGGAGTCCTCGTAACCAGATACAGAAGTTCTAGCAGTTCTTTTGATAGTTCCGAGGATAAAATATTGTTTATATTGGGGGGTAGACGAGATAGGTTGAAAATTATCAACAAACTTCACACAAATATTTCATTAAAATATTATGATATGCATAGATTCATTAATAAGAATTCTCTGTTGGTGCTCAAGTTTCTTGAAGGTTCGCACTAATTTCTTGAAATTCATGATGGGAAAGAAATAAGTAGCTACCACTCGAAATTTCTACAATTTCTGTTGGTATCAATAATGCAGCTATTCTTTTATTTTCATATTCTAGACTTATTTCCATTAATTCATCCATATTTTTTCTTAGGCAAATGGCAAACAGCTTTCAAAGCCAATATTTTGTTTTTAGTTTTTGAGGTTATGCTGTCGCTGTCATTTCGGAAGCCACCAAAATTCGTCTGTACATCGGTGGAATGGTTTGCAATTTTGGTTGACACAACAAAAATGAATGAACGCGTGGTTACGTCAAACTGGAATTCACTAAAGAATATATGAACACAGTTGAGGGATTGATGGAGCCACCGATGAATAAAAGTACGTCCCTTACTGCAACCTGTATAAATAAACTGTATCCACATTCCGATAATTACCACATATAGGCCGAGTAAAAAATGCTTTTTTATCTCTTGGAGCGCACGAAAGGAAATTCCTATAATGCCTGATTACTAGTCTACATTATAGGAAATAAACATAAATATACAGAAAGAAAACTCACCAGTGATTTTACAAAACATTCTTGAACTGGAATCCGCCACATTCCGAGCATAACTGAGCTAGTGACGGTACGGAATACCTGTCACTGTTCTGTAACAGGTATGAACAATTTGGAACTGGTACGACTCGCACGCATATTCGCGTGCGCAGATACTAGGACACCTGAGCGAAAATTTCATCAGAATTCCTAGATTTTGATGAATTTCTGATGCTCTTCCGGCTGCTTCCTCCAGATCGTTGGTCGTGTACAGTGTGTCCGGTTTTCGATGCTTTTGCCTGATATCTCAGTTATTTTTGGAGATAGAACCTTGCGGTTTTCGC